TTTTTTACATGTATACGTTCTTAAAAACTTATTCTTTCCCCACCTTAATAAACATTAATCTCGATATGATCAACATTAAAAATAATTTTTTTTATTTTATGTATGCGTTTAAAATTATATGATAAAATTAAAATTAATTATATGTATACGTTTTCAATTTTTAAAGTTTGATATGATACAAAATATAAGTATTTTTAAATGATTAAAATTTATTTATTGAATATAATTAAATTTTTAAATAAATAAAAAAGAACTCATCCTCTAAAAAATATAGGGAGCAAAACAGTTTTAGGTATCATTATTAAGGAGAAAAAAGTAGGACAAACGAAATTTATATATTTTTAAATGATCAAAATTTATTTATTGAATGTAATTAAATGTTTGAATAAATAAAAAAGAACTCATCCTTTAAAAAATAAGGGGAGCAAAATAGTTTTAGGTATCATTGTTAGGGAGAAAAATGTAGGAGAAACGAAATTTATGCATTTTTAAATAATCAAATTTTTTTTTATTGAATGTAATTAAATTTTTAAATAAATAAAAAAGAACTCATCCTCTAAAAATAAAAGGGAGCAAAATAGTTTTAGATATCATTGTTACGGAGAAAAAAGTAGGACAAACGAAATTTATGTATTTTTAAATGATCAAAATTTATTTATTGAATGTAATTAAATTTTTTAATAAATAAAAAAGAACTCATCCTCTAAAAATAAAGGGAGCAAAATAGTTTTAGGTAACATTGTTAGGGAGAAAAACGTAAGACAAACGAAATTTATGTATTTTTAAATTATCAAAATATATTTATTGAATGTAATTGAATTTTTAAATAAATAAAAAAGAACTCATCCTTTAAAAAATAGAGGGAGCAAATCAATTTTAGGTATCATTATTAGAAAGAAAAACATAAAACAAACGGAATTTATGTATTTTTAAATTATTAAAATTTTATTATTAAATATAATTAATTTTTTTAATAAATATACATTAAACATTTTACCCATAAAAAAAGAGGGGCTAAAACTATAAGGCGTCAATTGGTCTAACAACTTTAGCTTAAAAACGTTAGTTTAACTCACGCTTTTAAGATAATTATACTGTCTATGGTTCTTAACTTAATAACGTCAGTTGGTCTGACGTGTTTAACTTAAAAATGTCATTTGGTCTGACGTGTTTAACTCAAAAACGTCGGGCTAACTAACGTTTTTAACTTTGTTATACTGCATGTGATCTTACTTTAAAACGTCAATACCAACGGATGTGTTTTGGCTTAAAAATATCTGATACGTTTTTTGACTTAAAAATATCAATGACAGTTTTGAAAATTCCTGAATAAGAAATTCTTTCAGACTAACAATTATTTGAGACGTGTTTTTCAAAATCACTCAGGATGGGATAAAAGCTCGTTTCATCCACTTATAATTCTCTTATCTTGCCGGCAGACTGAAGCGACGAGGCTGGGTCGGGAGTCTCCGTTCCCGAAAGTCTTCTACTTTTCGTTACTTTGTAGGAGGGAAAAATGGCGGCAAGTGCATTTACCACAGCGACCCATCTTTGGAGACCATCCCCATCATCCATAGGGAACGAAAGCAATAGAGACTGCGACACAAAAAGACAACTTCGTCCTCCTCTTCCTCGGTTGGTTCGTAATCCGCGATTCTTCTCTTTATCCTTTGGAGGATTAATTCAACCCCAACACCAACCACGACGTCGTTTCTACGTTATATCGGGCCTCCCTCCTCCTCCTTCACCCAAGTCTACCTTCAATGCCTCCACCAAACTCTACGTCAGTGGTTGGTGATTCATTTTCAGAAGTAATTTTTCACTGTAGGAATTCAGGAATTTTATTTGATGGAAACTATTTATCATCGGAATGTTTTTTTGGTTATGATTAGTTTATTTATTATGGTGTTTCGATTTCTTAATTAGTTTGAATTGGTTTGACAGGCTTTTTTAGGTTGACACCCAGCACATTAGTTGCTCATGAATATCTATTTTAGTCAAATTTATGTTTTATTTGTTAGCAGTTACAGGATTTAGAATTTTGGAATAGGAATTTTGAGATTTTGCCCCGTAATATCTGTCCCTCTTGAGGTGCTTCTCAGAGCTTCTTCCATCTTGACTTCAAATTTGTGTAAAAAGTTTGATTTGATACAAAACACTCCAGTGGAAAATCTCAAATTTAAAGGAGTACAAACTCAAATTTAAATGACGATAAACTCAAATTTAAAGGAGGACATAATATGACCATTAGATGGTTAAAGGAAAATGAAATCTAACTATTGGTGATTTGGATGTTAGAGTCACGATCACTTTCTATTTTATAAAAATCAAAGAATATTTCAATTGGATAAGTAGATTTCCCTTTTTACTGGTTCTTTTTTGTTTTCATAATCAGAAAGCTTGTAATTGCACAAGTTAATCAGGTAACTATGTAAACCTCTTAAGCTGCAATTGGTACGCGGTAATGCTTTTCAGTAGGAATGAAATAAATTTGAGAATAGAATAAACTTGGGAATGAAATGAAATGCACATTACCATTCCAATGTTTGACAGCAGTTTAGGATTAAGCGGTGGAATGGAATGTTCATTTCATTCTTATGTTTGGATAAATCAATTTTTTCATTAGAATGGAAACAACTTTAACCAAAATATCCATAGTAACTAAAAATAATTAATAACAATTTTTTTTTATGATTGCGATTGCCTTTAAAAGTTGTGTGTAAAAAAATTTATAATTAGAAAAATTGATAATCCATTGAAAAAAATTAAACCACTATAAATTTAAAAAAAATAGAAAACAAATTCCTTCAAAAATAGGTTCACAAAAAGAAATAAAAATAAAAATAAAAAATATTCAAAATTTGTCATTCATTTCAAATGAACAACTATAGTTCTTTGTGAATTCAATAGAGCACATGTGCAAACCAAAAAAAAAAAAAAAACTATCAAGACAACTAGGAATCTTATCCGAAAACATGCTGGTTGAACCAAAAAAAAAATCAATGAAAAGTAAGTTCAAAAAATAACCAACAGTATACATAAAACAAAAACAAGTTGAATAAAAAAAAGAATTCTTAAATTTCATTCATTTCATCTCAATAGCATTAGAGGTAGAATTCCAAGAAACAAAATCATTCTCAAATATAAGTACAAAAAATTACACTCTTTGCCTACTTGCTTTCCCCTCATCAAACATTTTTGTTTGCCAAATTCAATCTAAATGTTGACCACTCGTTAGATATTTCAACCGTGGTAATACGATCCTCATGTGCATCATTTTCCACCACGAGACCTGCTACATCTACCTCCGCCTCGATTGGGTCTATTGGCATCTGATCCCTGATAAACATGTACTAAAAAGTATAAAAACTTCAACTTCACCAATTATAAATTCAAATAAGAAAAACAAAGAGGAAGCAGATCACCTAACAAAATACATAACAAAAATTACCATCGTGTATGAATAGATGACTCATCAAAATCAGTCCAAAATCATCATGTTTAATACCAAAAGAATGATGTAATTTGAGTTAGTTGATGTCGTGACAAGGTTAACTATCTCCTGTTGTACATTACCCTCTCAACTATCAAGTTTTTCATATTGCACCTCCTACTATAGTTACAAGTTTTACATTGCTCCCTCAACTATTAGGTAACATGGTATTGGAATGTTAAAGCAACTCAAGTAGTTAAGGGGCAATTAAACAATTAAACTTTCAAAAGAAATCAAACATGATATGGAATTAACCTTCTGCTTTCAGCATTGTCTAACCATAACCATCACACATACTCTTCATGGCAGTAATTGAATTCTCTACTTAGATTATTTATTGCATACATCTCACACAGTAATTGGCTTTCTTCTGTTTTAAAGATCTCAGCAGTGATCATCATTAAAGCCTTTTCAAAGCTGTAGATGCCTATTTTCGCATCATAGTTTGCCAGAGAGATATAGCACAGTTACTGTAATCTATTTGTGAAACTTTAACACCAACAATTGGAGCCCTGTTCCCATTTCTATAAGCCCTTTATAAAGCAATCTCTAGCAGCCAAAGTTCTTTTTTGATTTCATGTTTATCGCGTAGTTTAAAGGCTCATTCCTCAACCATCAGACATAAATTTTGAATGTTTTGCTCTAATAACAACCGTTTTATCATAACAAACAGGACAGCTAGTTATTGTTGTTAGGCTTTTTTCCATTGTCTGGTTGCGCACACACACACACACATATATATGCTCAATTGCTCTTTGCTCATCTCCTATTTCCCCTGTCTTTTCATGTTGCATGCAATGTGTATATGAGTTTTGTTGTCTTTTCCTTCACCCTAGAATTAGTTTTCTAGGGTGTATATGACCAAAACACTTGATATTGCAGAAGGGAAGACCATTTGCATCATTTTTGTATTGCAAAGCATATTCAAATTTACGCTTTGGATAGAAAATTGTGGTCTTGCCAGTCAAGAAACAATATGCTTGATGTCTACACACTAGAGATGACTACAGAATTAGACAAAAATAAGTACAATTGTTTCTTACACTACATTTGAGAGCACAATCTATGCGAGTAAAATGAAAATGCTTCTGTCAGACATTTTCTCAAACACCTTCAAAGCAAGACCCAAATCACCACAACCCAATTACATTTGTATCGGTGTTGGAGATTAGTTTCGTAGGTGGTGTTGAAACCTTGAAAATAAGGATAAGTAGTGAAAAGAGAATGCGAAATTACCTGAGATTTGTTGCAAAGGTTGAATTTGATCTGGTCTTGGTCTTGGTCGTGGATCTGGTGCAATGCTTCACCGAAGAGAGTTATAGGGAGGTAAGGAGGAGGACGCCATATATCTGATGAGAGTCATGAGAGTGTGCGAGAGAGAGAGAGAGAGAGAGAGAGAGAGAGTGAGAGAGAGGGAGAGAGAGAGAGGAGACGAGAGAGACAGCTTCCAGGGTTCTTTTGAACGATCGGGTTTTTTTTTTTCAGACGAATTGGGCTATTACCGATGGGATTGGGAATGGAGAATATCATGTTGGATTTGGTAATGTCTAATCCCATAATTTGTGGGATTAGGTATTCCTTTGGAATGGGAATGGATTTCAAATCCTACAAACCAAATATTAGAATAGGCATTCCCATGGAATGTCCGTTCCATTCCTAAGACCTAATACCATGTACCAAACATAGCGTTAGTTGTGAAATAGATGGATTCAGGATCAATGACCTTGCTAACCAACTTGATTTACTGTACAATTAGTAATAAATACTCTGTCTCATTGATTATTTATATATTTTAGAATAAAGTTAATTTTCAAATGATTTGGATCTATTTGCATGCTAAAACTTTGTCCATTGGTTTTTATAATCTTAAGATTACCTAAGCAGTTCTAATCTCATTAGCATCAACTTGAACTTATTTCTTAGTTTAATATTCATCTAGTACTGGAAGTTATAATATTTCCACCAATTGAATTTTTGTTGGTAGCCAGTTGCGCTCAACAAATATTACTGTTAGACCTATTTACATGTTTAAGATTTTTGATCCGTGGGATATGTAACTAGGAGTATTATTTCCATGGCGGGAATGAGGGACCTACCATTTTCTGGGAATCTCATTCATACAGGAATGGGTTACCATTATCACCAACTTGTTTGATTATGATAAGTGGCTGGGATAACAGCCTCCTTCTGGGCCTTCAAAGGCTAGTCCTTGGTCAAGAAAAGGAATTTATTTTTCCTTCATTTTGCCGGTAAGAAAAAGGGTTCTATGATTACTTCCCATGAATTCAGGTGTTCCTGAGTTACTCTTAAAATATTGAACACAGAATAAACAACCTTTCTTGCCTCTGATCATTTAGTTGAAGAATATTTTTTGTGATTTGAACAAGTATGCATGCATGGTTAGGATAAAGATCTGAATATGCATGCATGCATGGTTAGGATAAATATTTATAATGGATGTGTGCCTGCTTTGATCCATTCAAATGTGGTTCTAAATTTTCATGTTAATAGAATTGAAATGATTGTCAAAGTTTTGCTTTTACCTGTTAGTGCTGCCTTTTTTTTTTTTGGCTATATGCAGAATCATTTATGGAGTTTAGTTATGCGAATCCCTTAGATAAATTACTCATCTGGAATGAAGTCAGAAAACAAGTTTTTTGTTAAATGATCTGAATCTAGCAAGTGTGCTTTGCACCTTTTTTTTGGCTTGCGCTTCTTCAGTTTTAGATTTAAGGAATCAAATATGATTCTAGTTTTTTTATAATATCCTTCTTCTATGACTTCATTTGCATTGATTTAATACGGAATTTTTTAGGGATTGGAGGTCCTCTTTATAGAGAACAAAGAAAGAATTGATTCAATTAGACTACTCTAAGCAGTTGAGACTAGGCTTTGTTGACTTGAGTTGTAACATCTCAAATTTTTTTATAAAATAAATGTTAAAATTGGGGATGAAAATTTGAGAAATATTAGAATTTAGTGTGATCAATATATTTTATTTTTGGAGATTTTAAATACATAAATGGATTCCTTATGTAAAGACGAGTTCGATGACTGTAATATTGGGTATGTTTCATTTCAGAACAAAATAAGTGATGTTAAATATCTGTAGTAATCGAGAAAATATAATAAGTGTAAACTTTAGTGTGTCGTAGTTCACGTGTCAAAAGTGGGGTTTGTGTGTGAATATAAAGGAGACACGTGGCAAGCACGAAAAAACAGTGGAAGGATTTGGAGGTGACATGTGACAGCATGAAAAAACAGTGTATGTGTGTGTGTTTAAGGTGTAAACAAAGGCTATAAATAGGGAGTTTGACCTAATTAAAGGGTGCTAAAGGGGAAGAAAAGAGATGAGGAGAGAGAGAGGGGGAAGAAAGAAAGAAGAAGAAAGAGAAAGAAGGAAAGAGGAGAGAGAAAGATAAATCCGTGAAGCATCAAAATCAATGATTAACTGAATTCTGATTGAGATGAAATTTGTGTATGTTTCTTCTAAGATTGTGCTTATCAAATCCATTAGTATATTTTTTTTATTTGAGGTTGGGGGTAGTATACAATATGATTATTTATTCAAATCTTTTTGCAGTAAGTGTCCTATTAATTATTTTAAAATTCATATTCCTATTCACTATTTTTGATTGGGATGGAATTTTGTAAGTTTTGTTGAGCCGATTTATATTTTGAGCTAATTAATTTGGGCTTGTTTGATACATGTACAAAGTGCACTTTGGACATATTTTGTGAAACGCTATTATGGCCCTACGTGATGTGATTGTGGCCTTGCGGGGTGTTATTAGCGGTTATGAGTTTTGATTTATGGCCAAATGTCACTTGTGTTACCATGATGAACCGAGTATGAAACTATGCATGTTGAAAGTTGAATTATGTGATATGACATATTTCATTCAAGATTCTGTAATTTCCTAATTATTGAGTTATTTGGTATTCGATCATTTGTACCGTTATCATAGAGTATATTGTTTCCTATCATATTATATATTGCCCCTCTTATTTAATCTTTCGGGAGGATTGTGGAGTAGAGTTTGTGATTGAAATATTTGAAGAACTAGAAATGATATAAATTTTGTATTATATAAATTGGGAAATGTATTTGTATTTAGAGATTTGATTATCAATTTAATTTTTATTAACATAATTAGAGTTCTGGCTATTTGGAGATATTTTATAGAATTGTAACAATTGATTTATCAGATAACGCATACGGAAAACTAGGGTGTTATATGAGTTGAGTTGAGTTGAAAATGGAGCCTTTTAGCAGAGTGCAAATACATAGCAAGTCTTTTAGAAGCCAAATATTGGATAGGAAGGGGAGGGTGGAAGGGGAGAGAGAGAAAGCAAATTTTAGAGTTCACTGGTGATTTCTCTGCTAGTTCTGATGTTTCCTTATTTTACTATGCATTCAGCGCTACTAGAAATTAGAAGTTAAAAGCCATAGCAAAGCCTCCAAGAAAGCATGCAAATGGCTTAATAATGGGAACTTTGTTTCCATTTGGTTCTCAAAGTATATAATCTGGTAATGCATTGATGGTCTTGCTATTGCATGCAGGGCTCTCATTTCGTACCACTGAAGAGGGCTTGAGAAATGCTTTCCAAAATTTTGGCCACCTCACAGAAGGTGTCATGTGCATTTTGAGATATTGATTGCTTCTTTTGTTGAAGCCTGCAATACACTTTGATGTTAAGTCAATATATCATTGAATAGAAAGTAATTTTGGTGTCTGAAATATTGTATTTGTTTCTCTTACAGTCAATCTGGTGATGGATAGAATAGCCAATAGACCTAGAGGCTTTGCTTTCCTTTGCTATGCCACGGAAGCGGAATCTAAAAAGGCAATTGAGGGAATGCATGGGAAGGTAGCAATTTTTTAATGACATTATAGAGGCATACATACTTCAGAGTTATTTTCTGATTGGTCAGTTGAGGGGATGCATGGGAAGGTAGCTATTTTTTAATAACATTATAGAGACATATATACTTCAGAGTTATTTTCTGATTGAGAATTTTCATCAATAATGTTTCAAGTTAGAGGTGTATATGTATGCAATCGGTGAATGTTTGGTATCAGGAAGCAATTTCTTACTTAAATGATAAAATAGTATCAAAATAAGTTTCTAAAACCTAATTTTGAATTTCACTCTTCATCAAACTCCTTTCCAGTCACCATCAGGAGGTTTTAGTGAGAGAGTGGACTAGTTGGAGGCTGAAGAATAGGGTTAGATGGGTTAAAAAAAGTGATTGTAGTACTAAGCTAATAGTGCTTAAAAATCTCTTTTGACGCACGCTTGAACCTAAATAACACATAACGCTAAAACATGAAGCTCTACTATAATTCTGCTTCTTAAAAGTAAAAGATAAGCTCTAAAATATAAAATAAAAAACCAATAATTTCCAAATAACAAAAATAAATAAATTTCTAAAACACAATTTTGAATTTTTACTCTCGTCCAACTCTTTTCTGATCCCCACTAGGAGGTTTTAGTGAGGAAGGAGATTAGGTGGAGGTTGAACACTGGGTTGGATGGATTAAGGAAGGTGATTGTAATACTTACTTTTTCCATAGAATAGAAAGTCATAGGAGGATAAAGAGCATCATTAGCGAATTGAATTTGAGCAGGGTGAGATTGACAGATATTTTGTCTATTGCCAAGGAGATCATTGAATTCCATAAAGATCTTAGGATTTTCCTTATAAACCGACTCTCGAAGGTGTCGATTAATTGGTAGTTTTTTTTTCTTCAAAAAGTTGATGATTGATGTTTCTAATTACTGATATCCATACATCAGTAACAATATTTAAATCCATAGATTAAGAAACTAAACCCAATGACTCCTAAGCTGAAAAATAAAACTAAAATCAATCCCTCAACCTTAATGGTCTACCCAAGCTTCAACCATTCGCTTTTTTTCCCCTTCATTTCCATAGTCCTAATTACCGCCTCTAGCTTGCATAAAGGTTAGCCCTCACATTGTGAAATTAAAAGATTAGTCTTGAGCTTTCAGTACAAATAGGGTTTACTTTCCCAGGTGTGTAAATGCATTTACTTTGTGGAATTCATTTAGGGGAAAGACGTGGAAAAGAGCAGGAGTTGAGGATGGGGACCAAATTTAGTCCTAAACTAGAAAATGAAACAAAACCATTCCTGAGTTTTGATCTTCAATCCAAGCTTCACCCAATTCCTTTTGGTTTCCCAGGAAATTTGTTCTTTAACTAGCAATCTAAATATAATTTCCATGAATTTTATGTACCTTTTTTCATTTCTGAGGGGATTACATTTTTTTGCATATCCAATATACAGAGTTGAATCTATCTGTTGTCTCTTAGGATTTCAGTTTTAGCATATTAAATATGGATGCAGAATTGAGTTCGTGTCTCACTTCTATTTTTTAATCTTCTTTTGTGGTATTTATCTGGTTCCTGTGTCGATAATGCTCTGTGTTATTGTCTGCAAAGTACTATTTTGGTCCTGCAGCAATTGATAGATTTTAATCTTCAACCCAAGTTCCACATAGTCCCTTCTTTTTCCCTATCACCATTTGGAAACAAGAAATGCAATTACTGGGGATCTGAATCTGTATGCCTGGCTGCAAGCATGAAGGATAATGGAATCATATTGTTATCCAAGTGAATCTAATTACGTATTGGAGCCATCATCATTATTGAACATCAAGAAAATTGAGGCTGAAAAATGCTTAGTAGTGGGGCTTCAGTCTTGGACACCAGACAAGCATTCTTAGGGACTTAAATCGATACTTCCAGTGGTACTATCCTCCTGAAAATATAAAGAATATCTAAAACTAGAATGATTTTTGCTCCCTCCCAGTTTTACTCTAATTTAAAGTATGAAATGGAATCTGATGGTACCTGTCCAATATTTGCATTCCCTAGATGGTACCTTTCATTCACTTTCAATTTTAACAATGCATAATTATATCATAGATTCCATATTTTGTTTTAACCATGGTTGAGAGAAAATTATGTTCTTCATTTTATTCCTGCAAATTCATCAATAGTTGGGTATGCGAATTTCTTTTTAAGTGCCTTTAATGGGCTGTAGGTGTGATATTGGTTCAAACAGTAAAGGATACTAAACATTCTCGTACCACTTCCTCTCAGTTTTTGGATGGCAGGGTAATATTTGTTGAAGTTGCAAAACCAAGGTCTGAGCTTCGCCAAAACCTCAAGCAAAATCCCAGACCGTATTTTTGAGCTAGATATGCAATTGTTCGTCCTGGCTGCACTGCAATGGAGTGCCCTTGAGATAAGATTGTTCACTTGAGTCTGAGGGTTACATTTCCCAATTGGCACCATGGTATTAAGATACTTTGCATAACTGTTTGACTCGTGAAATTAATCTTTTTATGTCTCTCTCTTTCTCTCTCTCTCTCTCACACACACACACACACTCGCCCATGCATGTCCATACACACCCCAGCTTGTATTCTCTATAACATAAACAATTGACTCTATGAATAGTTCAGGTTTTGTCGGATTTTTTTTAGGGTATTATCAGTGACCTAATTTTCTTGACCTATATGATTTTCAGTGGGAGGTTCTGTTGTCCAGCTCCACTATTTCCTTGTCGGTAAACAAACTGAATTTTTATTGATAGTAGAATGATGCTATAGTACAATCAGAGGTAACTAGTACAATCAGAGGGAAAAGTCAAATACCCTCTAGACTAATCCAAAAAACAAAGGTAGGTAAGGAATACTAATACAAGTACAGTAATATACTTCATTAAACAAGTAAATTCCAAACACTCCTCAGAGTCTACCAATGCTGGTCTTCGTATACTGCAGCATCCATCATCTACCACCCATTCAAGCAAAATATCAACTCCACGAGGTCATAAGCATAACTGGAATATCCCAACATCTATTAGGCAATACTAGGAGGCATAGAGTTTTTAATTTCAAGTACCTCGTTAGATCAGCAATTGGGCAATTCCAGTGCCTCTCACTTATGATATCACTGACTTTTGGGTTCAATGGAAGCCCCGAATCATGAACAACTCCATTACTACATTTAAGAGAAAGAGGACCAAGTGGATGCCAATTGGACCCCATAAATTAGTTCCTTCACGTTTCCTGTGACGTGCTTCACACACACTCTGACTGGATCCTTGTTTTTGAGCAATTTGCTCCAATTCCAAGAGCAAACTTGTGGAGCCTTTAGTTCCCAGAAATTCTTGTGCTTCATATATTAGCCTAATCAGAAAGAATATGCCAAATATGTCTTGCCCTAAGTGCCTTCGTCAGATCACCATTTTTGATACCCAAAATCCCTCCTCCTTTAGGTTTGCAAATATCACTCCATGCCGCTTTTGCCCCAGTACCTTTCATTTATGAGCAGACAACATAAACATAATACTTGTATACGAAAGAGTTTTAATTTTATCAGTTGCCATCTCTCTGCATAAGAAAACAATTTCTTATTCCAAGAATTAGTTCTAGCCAATAATCTTTCAATGAGTGCACTGCCATGTCGACATGTTATGTGCACACTTTTTGAAAAAATATAAAGAAAAGGAAAAATAGAATAGGGAAAAAAAACCTACTTCCAAGGGTGCAAATTGACTCAATTTGAGAAGAACTTAATCTGTAAAATTTTAATAGAAAATTTATTAAAATATTTAATATATCCATTTCATTAATATGAAGAATTTAAAATATAAGATAATAAAAACTACATTCATAATTAACCTAACCCATGACTCCATTATCTTATTAACTACCTAGGAAATTACCTACTAAATACTTTATGATTAACCAACTTACTAAAATAACTTCTAATATTACATAAAAATTTATCAAAAATGTGTACATTTTAAAAAAAAAATATTTTTTTTTTGAGAGGGGGAGGGGGATTTGAACACTTAACCTTAAGAAGACAAATTTTTCATAAGATAAGCAGTACCATTTGACCAAACTTTAAAATAAACTTTATCCTCAAAATTTGATTTATCATATACAAAAGGAGGCGAGCAAGCCACCCACTTCTCAGTCCTCATAACAATCACTTGATCTATATTTTTCACCAATTGCAGTGTCAAACTTCAAAGCATTCCAACATTCATATTTAATTACTGCGGTGCTGCTAACAGCTATGGTGACTGAATTTGCAGCTTCAACATCAAAGCTAATGATATGCTTGAGTCCATTTTCAGAGCACCCTACGTCTTGTTGTCGAGACACATTGTGGCATCCGATATGCAATCTTGCAAAATGAGTGTAATAGTCTTGATCCCAGCCCACAAGCTTCCACTTAGACTCCTTTTCCTCGAGTTGTTTGCACCCAACGGTGAAGCTCCTTCTATGTGGTGCGACGCTAATAGGACCTTGTCATCAATGGTGATTTGTGGACCTCAAACAGTTTTTCGGCAATTAGTCAAAAATAAGTGGTCATCCAACTTTGAAATTTTTGGGGTTATTGAGTTTTCACAGCACTTGGCTTGGCGGGCCTCCAGTTAATCAAATCCTGACTTCACAGTGTGAAACAACTCATTGAACTTCTTAATTATCTTTTGTTGTTGTGCGACTCTCAATGAACGAACTTTCGCTTTAAGTCAATTAACTCGGTTATTTATGCTTAGCTCTGATATCAATTATTACGTGCACATTTTTTGAAAAAAAATATAAAGAAAGGGAAAAATAGAATAGGGGAAGAAAACCAACTTCGAGGGGAGTGGAAACCTCCGATGACTCAATTTGAAAAAAACCTAATCTCCAAAAACTACACAAGAAAGTTTATCAAAATATTTAACATATCCATATCATTGATAGGAAGACTTTTAAATACAATATATTAAAAACTATTTTAATAACTAACATAACTCATGACTCTACTATCTTAGTAACCACCTATGAAATTATCCACAAAATATTATATCACTAACCCACTTACTAAAATAATTTTCTAATAATTACTTCTAATATTACATAAAAATAAATTAAAAATGTATACATAACATTTTCTCAATTTTGTGGTGATTATAGGGACCCCCAAGTATTGAAATGAATCCGCAGGATAGCCACAATTTATCACCCAGTTCTTTGTGGCATCATCAATCCCTGATAAGAATATATCACTCTTAGAAGAATTAGCTTGTAACTTAAGAGTCAATTTAATGCAAGCATACGATTCAGTGGACTGGGACTTCCTATGTGATACACTAGCAACTTTCAGATTTCCCACCAGAATCATCATTTGGATCAAAGCATGCATGCTTGCGTTTTCTATATGATGGTGCATGAATAAAGAATTTCTGTTAAGTGTGAGCTTGGGAGGCGAGGTCAGATAATGAGCTCAGAGCTCTGAAGCCCAATTCCTTAGCTCCTCTCCTATGGAAATTCATGGGAGTCAAGGAAAGAACAGCTGTGCAACAAGAGGCGTACGCAAACAATAAAGGGGGGAGTGATCAAGGCGAGAAACTCTTAACCACCCAAGACCTCCTCCTAAAATCAAGGAAATCCCGTATTCGAAGAACAAGGATCTCGCCAAAGATCCCTTAATAATACAAATTGCTCTATAAATACTGTAGAATCCATCCGTTGAGAGGAGAGACAAAAAGAGAGAGAAAAAAAAACTATAGATTCACTGACATTCCTCTGTAAACCACTAATTTTATTAATAAAGCAGAAAGGAGCAGGAGCCTCCATTAAAGAGTGGACTAGCCAAGCACCCTAGTTGGTGAACCACTATAACTTCACTGTGTAAATTCCCCCAATCCCCCAGTAATTACAACGCGAATCTCACGAAGCCTCGTAGCTCAGATCCAAGTCATCAAGTATAACTCATTCCCTTTGCTCATTCATGCGAATTCACGCCATCAGTTTGGTGCCGTCTGTGGGAACGATTATTCCTGTTACAAATACGCTGATCCTTCAGTGATTGATGATTTCAACTCGCAACATGAGCAGAAGCCAAACAAACTTACCACGAATGCAGGACCAACAGGAAGCCACCACCGGGATACAACCTGAGAATGTCATAGAGACTAATCCTCCCATGGGGAATCCCCCCTGAAAATAACGAGTTGGAGGCCCTTCGCCTAGCTAATCAACGTCTGCTACAACAAAATGAGGAGCTTTTGAAGCTCTTGCAATGCCCTTAGGAGGTGCAACCAGCCTAAGAAAGCCAGAATAACTCACCTCACAAAGAACAACAACACCTCGATCCCCTTAGAGAAGTTAATGAAAGAGGGGAAAACAATCAAACCTTGGGGTAGGTTCGTCATCAACCCCTTAGGAATGGACACAATGAAGAAGTGCAAAGTCAAAACGATGGGGGTGAGAGGAATGATTTTTACCCTCATCAGCAGGAGAGGAGAGAACAGTACTGGGAACAACGCTTTAAGGACATCCAACAAGAGCTCAGCCACATGAAGGAAGCTGTGAAGAGCAAAGCTCCAATCACAATGGATGCCCTGGTGCAATAGACGGAGTCCCCATTCACCACAGGTGTACTGCATTTTCCCCTCCTCCCAAAATTCAGAATGTCACAGATTGAGGTTTTTGATGGGACGAAAGACCCCGTGGATCATCTCAATACCTACAAGAACCAGATGGAACTGCATGAATATCAGGATCCTGTGCGCGGTAGAGCCTTTGCTATCACATTGAAGGGCTCAGCCTTGGCATGGTTCAATAAGCTTCCCCCCAGGTTCGATCTCCTCTTTTAAGGAGTTTTCTATATCCTTTGTATCTCACTTCATAGGAGCTCAAACATACCAAAAGTCGAGCTACCACTTACTGAACGTGAAGTAAGGACCCCAAGAGAACCTCAGGTCTTATGTCCAGAGGTTCAATTCGAAGTCACTGAAAGTAGATATCCCAGATGGGAAGTTTGCCATCACCACATTTATAGCTAGTTTAGGCGTGCAGTCCAAAGATCTAATGTTCTTTATTTTGAAGAACCCTCAGGCAAGTATGGCTGAGGTGCTGGCTAAGGCAGAAAATTACATAAACGGCGAGGAAGCTCTTCTCTCAAAGGTGGAGAGCTCATCGACACAAACAGATAAAGAAAAAGAAGAAGAGAAGAGGGGCCAAAGTCCCAGAAGAGAAAGAGGACGAGATAGGTCTCCTAGAAGAGACAGAGATCGCTCCCCTAAGAGAAGGGGGGATGTCAGAGATCGCCTAGGTCCGCTGCAGCTAGAGTTGCAGCCGAGATACGCACCTCGACAGCTCCCTCCTCTCACTGTAACGATATCATAGACCTTACATGAGGTACAAAATGAGAAATTCCTAAGGTGGCCACCCCGGATGAAAGCAGACCCAGCAAAAAGAGATCCCACAAAATATTGTGAATACCACAGAGATCATGGTCACCACACTGATGATTGCCTCCAATTGAAGAAAGAGATTGAGTTTCTGATCCAACAAGGGCAGTTGCGTCGCTACATAGCGCAAGACAATCAGAACCGAGCTCCACCACCTCCACTACCTCAGCAACAAGTTCCTGTGCAACACCTAGGGGAAATCAGAGTAATATCTGAAGGATTCGTAGGGGGTGGAGAGTCTAGTTCAGCCAGGAAGGCTCACCTGCGCAGAATCAGAGCTGGCGAAGCATTGGAAGTGCACACTATATCCAAGGCACCTCGGCTGAACACAACCATCACCTTTTCAGACTCAGACTTAGAAGGCTATCAATACCCCCATGATGAGCCATTGGTGGTAAGAGTTGTCGTGGCTAACAGAATTGTTCATCGAGTTCTAATTGACAACGGGAGCTCAACAGATATCATATTTGCCTCCGCGTTTGACAAAATGGGCATAGGTAGGAAAAAGATGGAGCCGGTCAATGCTCACTTTTTGGGTTTCACTGGGGAGAGGGTATTGCCCCTAGGCTCAATCCAACTCGTCCTNCAATAGACGGAGTCCCCATTCACCACAGGTGTACTGCATTTTCCCCTCCTCCCAAAATTCAGAATGTCACAGATTGAGGTTTTTGATGGGACGAAAGACCCCGTGGATCATCTCAATACCTACAAGAACCAGATGGAACTGCATGAATATCAGGATCCTGTGCGCGGTAGAGCCTTTGCTATCACATTGAAGGGCTCAGCCTTGGCATGGTTCAATAAGCTTCCCCCCAGGTTCGATCTCCTCTTTTAAGGAGTTTTCTATATCCTTTGTATCTCACTTCATAGGAGCTCAAACATACCAAAAGTCGAGCTACCACTTACTGAACGTGAAGTAAGGACCCCAAGAGAACCTCAGGTCTTATGTCCAGAGGTTCAATTCGAAGTCACTGAAAGTAGATATCCCAGATGGGAAGTTTGCCATCACCACATTTATAGCTAGTTTAGGCGTGCAGTCCAAAGATCTAATGTTCTTTATTTTGAAGAACCCTCAGGCAAGTATGGCTGAGGTGCTGGCTAAGGCAGAAAATTACATAAACGGCGAGGAAGCTCTTCTCTCAAAGGTGGAGAGCTCATCGACACAAACAGATAAAGAAAAAGAAGAAGAGAAGAGGGGCCAAAGTCCCAGAAGAGAAAGAGGACGAGATAGGTCTCCTAGAAGAGACAGAGATCGCTCCCCTAAGAGAAGGGGGGATGTCAGAGATCGCCTAGGTCCGCTGCAGCTAGAGTTGCAGCCGAGATACGCACCTCGACAGCTCCCTCCTCTCACTGTAACGATATCATAGACCTTACATGAGGTACAAAATGAGAAATTCCTAAGGTGGCCACCCCGGATGAAAGCAGACCCAGCAAAAAGAGATCCCACAAAATATTGTGAATACCACAGAGATCATGGTCACCACACTGATGATTGCCTCCAATTGAAGAAAGAGATTGAGTTTCTGATCCAACAAGGGCAGTTGCGTCGCTACATAGCGCAAGACAATCAGAACCGAGCTCCACCACCTCCACTACCTCAGCAACAAGTTCCTGTGCAACACCTAGGGGAAATCAGAGTAATATCTGAAGGATTCGTAGGGGGTGGAGAGTCTAGTTCAGCCAGGAAGGCTCACCTGCGCAGAATCAGAGCTGGCGAAGCATTGGAAGTGCACACTATATCCAAGGCACCTCGGCTGAACACAACCATCACCTTTTCAGACTCAGACTTAGAAGGCTATCAATACCCCCATGATGAGCCATTGGTGGTAAGAGTTGTCGTGGCTAACAGAATTGTTCATCGAGTTCTAATTGACAACGGGAGCTCAACAGATATCATATTTGCCTCCGCGTTTGACAAAATGGGCATAGGTAGGAAAAAGATGGAGCCGGTCAATGCTCACTTTTTGGGTTTCACTGGGGAGAGGGTATTGCCCCTAGGCTCAATCCAACTCGTCCTCGCTATGGGAGATCCACCCTACCAGGCCACCAC